GCAGAGTGGTCTAAAATACATTGATACCAATAGTGGTTTTGAAAGGATTTGCAGTCTGGATGAATATTACGGATATTTATTTATTTTTTAAAATGAATGATTTGTATTTTACGGATTATCAACCTTTTGCAGGTTATTTAAAAAGCTAGAAAATATTTTTCGATTGTAAAATTTTTTTTATAGATAATAATGATTTACTGCTAAAAGTTTATACTAATTAACACATAGTTGGGGATGGGAACAAGTGGTGAACTCATTCCTTTCCAACAAAGATATAAAATATAAATCGCCTCTCATTTTTTTCAATGCCATAAAAATATTTAGACATTTTACATTCAAATTTAGAGTTATTAGACTCAAGGTTACTCATCATACATGGAAACTCTTGACCAAACTCGACGATTACAATTTAGTTAAATTTTCAAATTCTTTCAACGTGTTATATTATTTTCTGTTTTGATTCCATTTTTCCTAAAAAAACTTACATCGTCTGAAAAAATGGATTTTCTAAGCATCCAACTGAAAATAAGATACCGTATGGGCAACCAGTGAGATATTTCAGGCCGAAAAATATATGAATTCAAACCGAAAAATTCCATTAAAAAAAAAACAATATTTATTCATATCAGTATGAATGTTGAGATTTTACGCGCGAATTTTGAATGATCATTTAATAAACCATAAATATTGTATAAAATGTTGGGGCTAAAAATTATTTTTTTTTTTTCATTAACTAGTTTTTTCAGGTTTTTTTAACCTGGAGAAATTTCAGTTTAATTGATTTTAAAAATCAAAGTGATTTTAAATTTGGGGTTTTTTCAGGATTTTCAGATTTTTTCAGAAAAATTTGAGTTATCATTTTCACCTATAAAATTTTCAGTGGTTTTAGTCTTTACACAAATGATGTCAAATGGTTAAACGTCTTATGAAAAAATTGAAAAAAAAAGTGAGTTTTAGTGTTTTTAGTGCATTATTATATATATATATAAATATTATATATATATATATATATATAACGAATATATATATATATACATATAATTTAAAATATATATATATATTTTCATATATATATATATATATATATATTTATATATATATTATTTTTATATTATATATTTAATTTCTTTTATGAAGAGGCAAAATAAAAACAGTTTGTTTGTATTTTAAAAAATTACGAAAAATTTTCTTGATTTCGATTCTTAATATAAAATGTTTTCTATATTTTGCTTGTTTAAAAAAATATATTAATTGGTGGTCTTAATAAAATCATTAAAGCTTTTTTCATCCAAAAATGGTTATTGAAAGGCTTTTCTGCAAAAACTGTTAGTGAGCATTAAATCCTCACTGGAAGTAATAAGAAATGATTCGATGTAAATATTAAAAACTAAAATTCGCTTGGAAAATCAATATAAATATATAGCCATATATATATATATATATATTTTTAATATAAAAAGACTGGTCATGTATCTGAGAATGCCTGATAAACAGGATTTATTCAAGATCCTAATTTACAGCCAGTTAGATAATATGAAAGGAATACAAAATTGATAGGATTTAAAAATTGGAAAATAATTAATCAAATGAAAAAAGCAATTCCAAAAGCTGTCAAAATATCTTTTAACACCCTTGAGCGCTTAGTCTTGAAACATTTAAAGAATGGATATCAACATAAAATTTATTGGTTTTTCATTTAAAATCTGTTTGTCTGAAAAATCCTTTAAAATCAAGATCTAAAAATATTCAAATCTAACAGAATTAATGAACCAATCTTCCTTTTGCAAAATATGTGGCCTCCTTTGTAAATCACTAGCGGGTCTTAAGTGTTTCTTCAAAAGATTATCTCAAAAATTGTATAACTGAATCAATGAAAGTTATCAGATAAATCGAACCCGAAAGATTTTCCATTATTATTATCACTATTATATGATTAATCTTAAATAAATATTGTTTTAATGAAATTTAGTGTGTTCTTGAATGTATGGAGATTTGGATGAGGGCTTTATAACTTTTTCTTTATTCCGTCCATGAAAGCGTGTTTTAAATCTACCATGGTTGATTTTCGAGGTCAAAAGGCGGAATTAAAAATTTTCGCATAAAAAAAAAAAACCTCAATTTCAATTTCAAAATAAATTTACATTGAGATCTCTTCCAATTTAACTCAACCCTGACACTAAGTGGAATTTAAGAAATTATAAAAATATATTGAAACTGGATAAAATCATCGTTTTTTCAGTTCCACCCCGAAAATCTCATTTCCTGCTAAATTCTAGAAAATGAAAATATTATATTCTTGAATACATGGGCAGGAACCTTCCAATTTTGGTAGATTGGTAAAAAAAAAACAATTTTAATTTAAATGAAATTGAATTATTTTTCCCAACAAAAATTCAATGGTAAACAAGAATTTTAAAACATTTTTCTCTCGATGCTCTATTGACTTCAATTAAATTTGTGAAGATGAAGGATTTGATTTTATTTAAAATCACTGTTTAAGGCCTAAAAAGAATTTTCATGCCAAATTAAAAATTTCAGAAAATACCTTTTTCCCTTCGTATACCATCGAAAAAAAATTAATTTAAATTCATTTTTAATTCATATTTAAACCGCTGAAAAAAATGCTTTCAAATTTTTGTTTTCCATCACTTAAGTCTTAAATTTTCATTTCTAGGTTTAATAAATTGTTAATTCTCTATAATTCCCAAAAAATGGTTTTTTATCTACCTTTAAAGGCTCTTGGGCCTCACAACAAAAAAAAATTAACAAAAAAGGTGATTAATTCTTGAATTCATTGTTTGGACTTTATTTATAAATAAGCAAATTGGGAATATACCAGAAAACGTTTTCAATTTATCTTCCCTTTG